CCTTCAATGGTCGAAATGATTTCGACCATTTCGACCATTTCGGATATCTGAAATGATCCATTTTGACTTCATGTATAATGATGATCGAGAAAAACATAAAACACAAAAATCATGTGATAAATTATTAGCCGGTCACACAATTTTGTATTTTATTTGTCATAATGCCTGCCTTACTCAATTATAATAAACTATTATATTTTAAACTGCATACAAATGAATTATGTTTACTTTGATAATATATCATAACTGAATTGTATAAAATTATGACATAATCTTGATTAAAAAATTTATGATAAATATTCGATTTGTTCATGATTTATTTCGATTTGAAAAGTTTCTGCAAAGTATATTAAGAAACTTTAAAAGCATATTATTTTTTAAAGAAATATAATTTATAAAAATTATAAATAATTATAAAATACTTTTTATAATTATTTTTAAATATTATTTGATTTGTAACTTAATTATAGCAGTAATTATATCTCAAGTTATAACTTTTTTTTTAATAATATGAATACTAATTTTAATTTTAAAGAAATTTTATATTTTTAAATTTTATTATTATTATAAAAAGATTTAAAGTAAAAAAATAATTTAATCTATATAAAAATATTTTATTTAATGATTACATACTAATATTTATTTAATAAATATTTTAAGTATAGTGTTCATTAATAAAATAAATTTAAATTTTTGTAAAAAATTATAAATATTTTATATAATTTTTAAAACTATTATTTATATTTATAATTAAATATTTTATAATTCAAAAATTTATAATATAATTATAAATTATTTTAATCATTAATTTTACAATCTAAACATTCACTTTTCTCTTCATTTAATATATTATTTAATTTTTTAGAAAAATTAAGTAATTGACTAGTATGATATGCTTGTGGATGTGATTTAATAATAACTTCATTATTATTATTTTGTATTTTTTTTAATACCTTATCTGCTTTATAAAAATCTAAAATATCATCCCCTAATTCTTTTTTAAAATCATTATCAATGATATTTTCTTTCCAACTTTTAATAATATTTTTAATTTCTGATGCAGTTGGTCTTTTTAATGGATCAATATTCCAACATTTTTTCATTAAATTTATATAACATTGTGGAATATTTTTAATAATTTTAGGACGTTCACCTTTGCAAATATCCAAGCTAAGTTGAAAATCATGAGCTTCATTATCAAATGGAGGAATTCCATATATAAATTCCCACATAATTATAGAAAAGCTATAAATATCACTAGCTAAAGTATAAGGATAACCTCTTAAAACTTCAGGTACTACATATGGTAAAACATCATAAATATCATTATTTTTAGATGATTGAAAATATTCTACAGGTTTATATAATCCTAAATTACTAATAGATAAAATATTTTTTCTAATATTTAAAATATTGCCATAATGAAAATCACAATGAATAAAACTTTTTTGATGTATTTCAACAAGTTTACTAATAATATTATTTAATTGTTCTAATTTAATAATCCATTTATTTTTAACTATATTTAATAAATTTTTTCTTAAATTGCTATTTTTTGCATATTTCATTACTATCATATAATTTAATGTATTTGGATCTTGAGTAAATCCATATAATTGAATAAGATTTTCATTTGAATATGTTTTTAATTGACTAAAACATTCATAATGATATTTCTACTAAAATAATAAAAATTTATTTAAAATTTATCAAAATAATTATTAATTACATACCTCATTTAAAAATTCTTCATTTAAATTATATGATTTATTAAGACATTTAAGAGATACTTTTATTTCTTTACTTTTAATCCAATTTTTTTTATAATATGAATAAGATTTAATAAATCTATCTAATCAAATAGCTTTATATATAGTACTAAATCCTCCTTTATCAAGATATTTAATATTTATTAATTTATTATAAGGAATCCATTCTAATATTTGTTTGTTATTTAAAGCATTCAGTTAAATATTTTGAATAAATTTATTAATAAATCTATTTCTACTAGTCCAATTAGAAAAATGTTGTTGAAGTAATTTAGAATTACATTCTTTACACTATTGATATCCTGTATTTTTTGTATTACAAATTGAACATATTCCTTTTTTCTAAATAAATATTTTATATTATTAGTATTATTATTATAATTTTATTATAACTTTAAAATGAAACTTACGAAATTATATTATATTTAATAAATTTTACAAATTTATTACATATTTTAAAATAAAAATTATTTTATTTATTAAAATAAATTACTAATAATCAATAAAAATAACTTACACCCTTTAATATTTTTTTAATTATAAATAAAAAAATTTAATTGAATAATTGAATTTATATTAAGATAAAAAATATAATTAAATACTAATAATAATAAAAATAACTTACATACTTTAATAAAGTAGTATTTTTGATTTTAATGATTTTAAATAAAAATTTAGTTGAGTTTAAATTACAACAAAAAGTATAATTAAATACTTATAATCAATAAAAATAACTTACCAACTAATAATAATATATTTTTAAATAAAAAATTTAGTTAAATTTAAATTATAATAAAAAGTATTAAATACTAATAATCAATAAAAATAATTTACCATCTATTATATTATTAATTATTAATTATTTTTTTTAAATAAAAAATTTAGTTGAGTTAAATTATAGTAAAAGTATAATTAAATACTGATAATCAATAAAAATAACTTACTAACTAATAATAATATATTTTTTAATAAAAAATATAGTTGAGTTTAAATTACTGTAAAAAGTATAATTAAATACTAATAATTAATAAAAATAACTTACAATCTAAAAGATTAATTGTTTTTTTAAATAAAAAATATATTTGAGATTAAATTACAGTAAAAAGTAGAATTAAATACTGATAATCAATAAAAATAACTTAACCCCCCTTTAGTAGTATTTTAAATAAAAAATATAGTTAAGTTTAAATTACAATAAAAAGTAGAATTAAATACTGATAATCAATAAAAACAACTTACCATCTAAAAATTAATTGTTTTTTTAAATAAAAAATAGAGTTAAGTTTAAATTACAGTAAAAAGTATAATTAAACACTAATAATCAATAAAAATAACTTACCATCTAAATTTTATAAATAAAAAATATAATTGAGTTTAAATTACAGTAAAAAATAGAATTAAATACTGATAATTAATAAAAATAACTTACCACCTTTAGTATTATTTTTGATTTTAAATAAAATATTTAGTTGAATTCAAATTATAGTAAAAAGTACAATTAAATACTGATAATCAATAAAAATAACTTACACTCTTTATAGTATTTTTGATTTAAATAAAGAATAGAGTTGAGTTTAAATTATAATAAAAAGTATAATTAAATACTAATAATCAATAAAATAAATTAACATCTAAATTTTATAAATAAAAAATTTAGTTGAGTTTAAATTACAGTAAAAAGTAGAATTAAATACTGATAATTAATAAAATTAACTTATCACCTTTAGTAATATTTTTGATTTTAAATAAAATATTTAGTTAAGTTCAAATTACAGTAAAAAATACAATTAAATACTGATAATCAATAAAAATAATTTACTCCCTTTAGTAACCCCTTTAGTAATATTTTTGATTTTAAATAAAAAATTTAGTTGAGTTCAAATTACAGTAAAAGTATAATTAAATAATGCTAATCAATAAAAATAACTTACATCCTTTAGTAATATTTTTGATTTTAAATAAAATATTTAGTTGAGTTCAAATTACAGTAAAAAGTATAATTAAATACTGATAATAACTTACAATCTAAAATTTTATTTTTTTAAATAAAAAATTTAGTTGAAGTTAAATTACAATAAAAAGTAGAATTAAATACTAATAATCAATAAAATAACTTACTATCTAAAAATTAATTGTTTTTTAAATAAAAAATATAGTTAGTTTAAATTACAATAAAAAGTATAATTATAATTAAATGCTAATAATCAATAAAAATAACTTACAACTAATAATATTTTTTAAATAAAAAATTTAGTTAAGTTTAAATTACAGTAAAAAGTAGAATTAAATACTGATAATCAATAAAAATAACTTACCTCCTTTAGTAATATTTTTGATTTTAAATAAAATATTTAGTTAAGTTCAAATTATAGTAAAAAGTATAATTAAATATTATAATAACTTACAATCTAAAATTTTATTTTTTTAAATAAAAAATTTAGTTGAATTTAAATTTGAAAATATAATTAATTAATTAAAATAATTAACTTTCTGTAATATTAATAATATATTAGTATTTTTGAGTAAAAATTATAGTTAATTTTATAATAAATATAACTTACGTTCTATTATTTTTTTAAATAAAAATTTAGATGGTTTAACTTATTATCGTTATAAATATTAAAATTAAATATAATATACTTTATGAAAATAACTTACTAACTAAAATACCATTAAAATTTTTTAAAATATATTAGTTATGTTTAAATTGCAATATAAAAAATTATACCTATGGTATTATTTATCATTGGATATTATTAATTAAAAAGGTTAATTAAATTTAATTGTATTAAGATATATAAAAGTTAAATGGCTTACAATCTATGTATAAATAACAATTATATTAAATTTTTTTTAAAAAAATTTAAATCATTAAAATCATTACGATAGATAGATTATTCTTTACCATATAATCCTTCTAATATTTTGATCAAAAATTGAACATAGTTAAATTATAATATTTGTTAAATACATATATTTTTATTATATTTACATTCATCATCACTCGGAACTATAATTCAAATTTTAAATTTTTAGTAAATAAACGAATTGCAGTATTATTTAATTTATTTAATTTTATCACAAGAATAGTTTTTTTCGTGATATTGGTTAATTATTTATGTTTACCTTCATCACTTGAAGCTGGTTCTATGTTTATTTGATAAAAAATGAGTATAATTAATGAATTATTATAATATTTAAATGTGGTCAATAATAAATGAATTACCTTCTAATGAAGATACTTCCATAACATCCGAAAATGGCTCTAATGTAAATTAATGAAATATAATTTTTTTTAGAAATCAACTAACCGTCAAATATATTCATTTCAAGTATGCTAAACTTTTTTTCCGTTATTTTGTTTAGTGGAAATATATATATTTTTTTGGCATTTCAATTAAACTTTACCTTTATTGTCACTATCATTCATTGTTATTATTTTTTAAAAAACATTTTTTTTTAAACCAAAAAATTATCTTTAACTATAATATGGTGATAATGGTGATACATGTGTCAAGATATGAGTATCCTTCGCAATAGGCTAATGCTATGTAGAAATTTAATACCCATGTGATGTGATATGTTTTTTTTTTAATTAATAAAAAATAAAATCCGGGTCGATTTTAAAATTTTATATCATTTTATTGAAATTATATTTTTTTTTTTTTTGAGTATTGTATTATACAGGTTATTAATAATTAAGAGGAGGCATCTGAAAGTGTTTCCTGCAATTTGATTAAATTTTCCCTTATGGGCACTAAATAAAGCAAATTTCTACCTAATAAAGTAAAATTTTTCAAATTTAGTAAATTTTAATTATAAGTTTTACGTCTTAGCTACCTACAATCATAAATCTTTTGTTTCTTTATTTAATTGATTGTAACGGTTTTTTGTATAAATAACATGCTAAAAGATAAGGAAAACCTTTATTTTACGAAATTTACGTCAGCTTACAGTTAACTATTATTAGTTGATATTTACAAAGTTCAGAGTCGTAAAATGGGTTATTCTAGTTCTAAGGTACACTCGAAAAATTATAACGTGATCTATGAAACACTATGAAAGGTTATAAACTTTCATTTCATATTTGGAAATAAATATACGGAGTAAAAAATAGTTTTAGAGTCTCGATTTTTAATATTAATGATCTTTCGTCATTGTAGTAAAGTTTTAAGAAGAAGCTATTTTCAAAAGGGTTTCGACTTCGATATTTCGACATACTACTCGGATAGTAGCTTTGAAAGACATAACATGCTATGAGCTTGATATTATTAATTAAATTTTATTACTGTTTAGGCATATAATTTTTAAATCAAAAAAAGGAATTTTCTTTTAAATTAATGAAATAAATAAGTTATGGTATTAGAAATCCAAATTATAAACGTTAATTTATCTAAAAAGTTTATAATGTAATGTTAACCCCAAAATCAAGTTCATTAATTATTAATTACCGTAGCAAATATTCACGTTACTGTAAATCGTATTCAGAGAATTTTTGTCGTAATATACTTACTTATCGAAAAATAATTTAAATATTTTTTTATATTTTTATCCAAAGGGAATTTTTAATAGAAATAAATGGATGAAAATGCAACTCAATGTCGGAATATAATCCGAAATGATGTAAAAAAATGTCATCGACTAATTTTTTCATAGTTTTGATTTAATTAATCCATCAACCACCCCAACGGAACACCTGCGTATTCTAGGATTATATCGGCAACTTTAAATTCATGATGACATCTTTAGAACTTGGAGGTATTTTAATTTAATATAATGTTTAAATGTTAAAATGCATATAGACGATATTTAAATTTTAATCAATTTGTTACATTATTTATGTAAAGTATACGCTAAATTTGATCACTACGGCTACTAACACATTTGAAGCAAATGGACAACTTTTATTAGCTGAAAATATTTTTTAGATGTAGGTTCACTACTTACACTCAAAATCAATGTATTTCCTTCCTTCTGTATGGTAGACAATGAAAACTCATAAAGTCCAATTGATGCTTGATCTTCTTAATTATACTTTTATAGTGAGGCGTGAAAAATGACTTTATTCATAACGATCTTTAATAAATTTGACATCAGAAATACAGAGTGCCAACGGTACTTGAAAAATTAAATAAAGTATTTTAATTGAATTCTTTTAGATTACCATTACTTTGTTAATATAAATAAACATTAAGAACTGGTCGTAAAAACTTTTCACATTCTGATTTTTCAAATTTCTTGTTGGGATTTCAATAGTTCATTGTAAATCATTTCAATTTTTAAACTAGAATACACCATTTAAATTTAAATATTAAGGATATAACAACAATAAATATACTTAACACCTAGCTCTAAATTTTGAGCGGTTTGATCCATCTGATAAAGAACAGGAAAAAAAATTACGTTGATTGGATAAATTTATAGAAAATGATAAATTAATACTTACATAATAATAATCTTTTTATTCATATAATGACTTCGTAAAAATTCGCTTCTTTAAATATCCAAACACCTAAGAATTTAATGCATATTTAATAAAAGATATGTGAAATCTCAAACTATTAATGAATTATATTGATCGATAACTTATTTCTCAACAATTTTACTTTTTATAGTGTAAATGAGTAACATATTAAGCAACCTTTTTTTTTTACTATGTATATTAATTTTTTCGAAGTATCTATATCATTTGCTTTATATCTTCCTAACAAGCCATCAATCAAGAGTTCATTCAGAGTCTATCTTATTAGTCACGATATATTCAGAGAAGTATATATATACAGTATATACCTCGAGATCTCTCTTAAAATATTTTCATTCAAAATTAAATCTTGCTCATTTTATCACTTACAAAAATGGCTATTTCTTTAAACTTTTTATTTTAGGTGATAATACTGACGGGATATTCGCGACAGACCTTGGCAATAAAGTCTTCATAAATAATATTGATAATATTGAATATGATATTAACGAACTTAAAATTTCAAACCTTAATGGAATAAACAGAAACTTGAAACCTACACCAATAACCATAGAAATCTGAACCTTTGGAAGGTTAATATTAGTTAAGATAAACTTAAAGGTGTTTTTACTGAAAAGAACAGAGAAGAAACTTAATGGCAAAAAGATAGATCTAATGATGATGTTTAGATATAAGGATTATTTTCCAGTAAGATATAAGCCTCCAAATAATCGTGCTCATATCATAATCGCAGTACCCACTTCCACAAGTAAGCATCCCAATTTATAATATTTCGAAGAAGTGATTTAACAAATCAATGAGTTTTGGTCTAATCTCTTATGTTCAACTTAAAGCGGGTCACTCTCAACAAGGCAATCCACTAGGTACAGTATTTCAAGTTGAAATATTTTTGAATATCTATTGTCATAGAACGATTACAGAAAATTCTAACAATTTCTCTTACTTATCAGCTTTAGTACCCAACTGGAACAATGTTTCTTCTGTTTATTCGTAGATGAAATCATTTCAAGTTGAATCGAGACTGAAACCAGGTATGTCTTTCTAGATTTGTTATTTTCAATAATGTGTATTTAGCTGATCTGACCAAAATCAATTGACTTTTCGGCTTGTTGAAAGCTTTGGCAAAAACTTTGAATTTCTTTAACGAAATTATATTATTGAACCCCTAATGAATGGCAAACCGCTAGAACAGCTAAATTGGATCATAAAACAACATGAATTCCGTGAACAAGGCGATAAAATTAAACATCTAATTCCCATCTTAGCTGGCGGATCTGGCATTGAAAAGAATAGATTTCTAGATGAAATTGAAATTTTGCTCAAAAAATACATTGAGGAATCTAGCAATAAAGATGTTCGTGAAGATTTTGCAAACATGGTTTTCATTTAACGTCTCCTATGGATCTCCAGCTGATGATATAGATATAAAGATAAAAGCCCAAACATCTCTTGCAATAAGTATTCTGTTTGAGTACTTCTGACCTCAAAATGTTGACTCCGGCGATTTCAATTTTGCTGACTTCAAAACATTTGTAAATGATTCAAGCATTTCAAGTTTTACTCTGAACACTACTCTCTGAGTTGTTTACACTGACTTTATAGCCGACTTTTTATAAAGGAATCAAGAAAAAACTTCTACTATACTACTTATCCTGGTCCTTGGAGTTGACGAGTTCAACAAATTGTATAGATGTCTTAAAAAACTAATAAACTCCATTGAAAGAATGATGTATTCAGCATCCAAAAACAAATTTTGAAAAGTCAATGGATGTCCCTTAAAAAAATTCATCTCTAGAAAACTTTGTATTAACTTTTTAACAGATCGATTTTGATTTGAAAGAAATTCGAATCACACGGCACGGGTTAAATTCTCCCTTAATTAATTGCTTGCATTATGCACAACCTTTACAGGACACATCCGTTCTTTGTGTTTCAAAAAAAAAATTCAAAATATTTCAATTTTAACGAGATTGTGTTTCACGTCCTGATTTAAATTATGTTATTATGTTATTATGTAAGGAAACAATACCAAAGACACCATAGATCAAACGATTAAACTGATTAAACTTTGATATAAAAGAAATTTGGCTGAAGAATAATTTTATAATATTCGATAAATTTGATTACATCGTGTTCTATGATAATTACACCTTTCAATTACTATAAAAAAGACTATTTTGAAAAATAATTTTTTTTTGTATCGCGGTTGGTTTTTTGATATTAGATCTAGCATGTAATTCTTTGAGCCGAGGACAATGTCGTTTTATAACTAGCGAATTGAATTCAAAGAATATATTGATATAATGTAAAATGAGTAATAAATTGCGATTTCATGTGTGTCTCTTTTATCATAACCTTATTAATGACTTTATTACGAGATGAATGATTCCAAAAAGACAAACAACCACATTATATTAAGCAATTAAGATTATATGATGAAACTTTAGCGCGAAATCAGATTTTTCAAAAATCTGTTAGTTCGAAACGTATAAAAAGTCGAAATCTTGTCATATACTACGTCAAGTGCAATTTACTGAAATTTCAAATTCGATGGTTGATTAGTAACAATAGATTTTGTAAAGATGATGATAGACTTCTATAAATATTTGGCATTTTATTAATAGACATTTGATAGATACAGTAGATTATTTATGATTACTTTAATTAATATTTTATTATTTTCATGAGATGAAAATACTTTTTTATTTAATAAATCTTATTTTTATTATTATATAAAGTTTATATGTGACCTTATTTATTCGTTAACCTAAAATCAAAGCTTTATAGATTATTTTACATGATCAAAGATAAGATTAATAACGATGTATTTTGTTAAGTTTTATTGTTTAAAATTTAATTCAAAAATCTATAAAAGAATTAAAATTATATAATACAAATCTATCAATTGATACATCATTTTAACAACATTAAAAGATGATAATGAAGTAAGTGTTATTGGCATTATAATGGGCATACATTGTTGCAATTTAAGAGAATTCGCATCGAACTCGGAATCATAATTTGAGAAGGTTGGAAAACCATCTTCATTCATATTCTGATCGATTGAAGGTTCCGATTTTCATCGACAATGTTTACTTCAACTCGCCTAAATTATTTGAATGATATTTCGAATTCAAAGTTTCATTCTTGACAGATAATGACTGATAATTATAAAAGGTTGAAGACTCCTCATAGGTAAATATGGTAAGTATTGAAGTAACTGTCGAAAAATTTGAAAATGAACATTTTGTGTGATAAGGGAGTTTGAGGATTCCAGGATTCAGGTAAATTCGGTACTAAACTGTATTTAAACCGGTTTCAACCCAAACCGATACCATCCCTAGTTTTTTTTAAACGGAGATGAACCTGCACCACATCGACAGCGTTTCCAAAATTGAAATTGAACAGAGCCATAAGCTTATATGAATTATTTATTAATGATATTCAATCGTTTAGTTTATTGACAGTGTGTAAAAAATTGTTATTTTCTTGGGGATTATGCCGATAGATTTATTTTCTGGTTTATCGTTATATAAAATTTCTTTCCTGTAAATGATTTGCCAAGACGATTATTTTAAAGTCAAAAATTGTTCTATGATGTCATTTAAGCAAAGGAATGGGCAAATAAGTATATATTTATTTATTATTTGAGTTTCTTAATTTGATTTCTATTTTATTATTATGTTCCAAAATAAAAAGAGAAGTTTCATTCTCCCCTTTTAATATCAATTTCAGTAAGGTTAATATTTAAGCTACCAAACATAATTGGAGTGATAATTTGTATATTAGCGAGTAAAACATTCGAAAGAGGAGGAAGAATTGCTGGAGAATTTGTGGGAAATTAGATTTTATTGCGCGATGATACTTCATGATATGGTTTCTTTGGTAAGAGAGCTGCTTGTTCTGAAGGAAGGAATTAGCTTTTGTACCTTCCCTTGCATAAATTTCAGACTGCGTTCATGAGCAGGGATTGCTTCTCACTTTCTGAGTATTTCTTGGAGTCATAAATAATCTGATTGCAGTTGATTACGTAAGTTATTTTATTTACTTTTATTCTTCTATATGAGTGTATTTGTATAATTATTTAATATTTAAAGTCAATAATGTAATCGAATAACTTATAATAGATATAAACAATTAATTACGTTGTTGTATATTGAGATATTTAGACTACGTTTCGTCACGTGAAAAGACAAAATCAACAACCATTAAGGAATTTAATCACCTCAAATAAAGCATCATCAGATTTTTTTTTATTTTAGCTCGTAAACGATGATCATAATATTTCAGTCAAAATTACGCAATTCGAACATAATGTAACACAGCCACTAGAAATAATTAGCCTACAGCCTACGATCCTTATTCAGTTTTCAATGAACAAATACTATTTTAAAATCATTAACAAAAAAAGTTTTTTTTTTAAAAAATTATATATAATAAAAATATATCAGTGTAGGAAAAACGGCTATAATTGAAAAAATATCAAAATACGATTAATGTACAATACACCAGAATAACTCTCGGTAAAATTTTCATACTACAGGAAAACATTTGATATCTTAAGGCTAGGGATTTTAAAATAAGAAAAAAAAATAATAATAATATAGTACTATGGTTATAAAAAAAAAGTTTTAGAAGGAACAATTGAAGATTTAAAAACTAAACTTACAAAAAGAAATAATGACTTAAAACAAGCGGAAGCAGTTCGAGATACTTACCTAGTTGAACGGGATAATGTCTGTACGGCTTTAGTTACTGCCATGGTTGATTTAAAAGCCGAGAAAGCAGCCCATAATGCAACTAAAGCTGAAAGGAATATTGTCATTGATGAATGAAACAACTTAAATAAATTAGCCGTAATTGAAGAAGAATTAGCAATAGAGAAGCGAAATAATCAGAAATTACAGATGATCGTAGCCGATTTAACACAACAAATAAAAACTAAGCAACTAAGAATAGTTTTCTTAGAAAATGATAAGGAAGATTTAATGCATAATAACCAGTGAATAGCCCAGCAATTTAAAGTTAATATCCAGGAAAATAAAAACCAATTGAATGGGAACTATCACTTTTGAAAGACAAATAATTAAGTGAATTGTTATTTAATCCATTTATCAAAAGGAAGCAAACTTCTCTGCTAAATCCCTTTTATTTATTTTTTAATTGTTGTAATAGCAAATTGAAGATTAATACAATCTGGTTCCCAATTCAAATACCCAGCATTTGTTATAGCATTTGCAAAAGTCTAGTTTGTAATTCTCAATGCCTATTGAAATTATGAAATTAGTTATTTATTCTATAATTATTTATTAAATAAATATTGTAGATGAGCTGATTTTGATTCATCAAATTTGTCCGCATTGCAAGAAAATGGAACAATTTAGATAGTATGGGTTGCAGATATTTTTAAAATGAGAGTGACCGCATGGGATAAACTCATTAAGACAGACAGCGTGCAGAAAATAACCATAGGAAGGGTGATGCTTCAAAAAATATTCGCATGGCTGAATAAATATTCGTTTTTTGAGAGTTTCGACTATTGGAGAAGAAAATTAGAGAATTTTAAAATAGGAATATAAAAATCTCAAATTATAATTACATGCATGTCAGAAAGATTAAACTACGTGGCAATATATCAAGAAGTTTTTCACAAGGTGGTAAATCAAGAGGGGCTTTGCCCGTTGTTGCGGTTATTTCTCAAGACCTAATAAATACACAAAAATTTTTTATAGAAATTTTCTTGTTTTATTATTAATTCACTCTCTTTCAAAAAAAATTAATAAATATACAAACTGATTTCGATAATGTTTGTTGCATTTGATATAAAGGACCACTAAAAAATAAATAACACTGTAAAATGTGAGTAATCGTCAAGAACGTTCACAATTGTTTGTAACTATGACTATGATGAGTTTTCATTCTTTGATTCGTTTATGATTAAACTTTCACAGGTGTGAAAGACATCGGAAACAGAAGTATATTCAAAGAAAGAACTAGAACACTATCAAGAATAAACAAATACGCCAAGAATTATGATTTTATAAAGGAAGTTAACACGTCCAAGCTTTTTACGAATCAGTTGACCTTCATCTTAGAAACTTTCTTTAAATTTTCTTCATTCCTGAAAGGAGCCCCCAAAAACTATGGCCATGAAGAGCTTTCAATTCCCTGATTATTTCGATACATAAGTGCAGTGCAGCTTAAGATACACAACAGCTCAACAAATAGCTCAGTAAGACTACTTACCATTTATTTCAATTCTTCCTTTCCATAAAAGATAGAATATTCAACCCCACGCTTTTTTTCACTTAAAGATTTAACTTTTTGTTTCAATAGTTTGGTGGTGTTGATGGTAATTGTCATCAAACGAATATAAAAAAGAGTATTTTTATATTCCCACAAAATTGCTTCATCTTATTATAACTTGAAATTGAACAACTCATAAAGGATTTACAACCTTTTTTATTCCTTATCTTTTTTAGCTAATTGTCCTATTTATTAAAACTGAGCTTTTTTTTACTAGGTGCCAACGAATGTCCAAAATTGTTAATTGGTTTATTATATTTTTTTAGTAGAGTAATACTGTTCTGTATATTTCATTTATCACCTACGCCATTTCGTTAATAAAAAATGTGCATGTAAACAATTCTGATTTATTTATTTCTCTGTCGCTGAGTATTGAGTAAACCAGTCTGCTTCGCGTTCGTTATAATAAGTTTTTTTAAATAATTTATATAAAAATTATCGTGTTCAGATTGTTACTCGAGAGAAACTTACGTAATATATTTTTGCAAAATTCCAAAATCATCTTATCAACCATCAAAGGTTATATTTTATCTCATATGTTATAGTAGAGACATTTTCTTTATTGTAGATGAGAGTAGTTCTAGTGATTGAAGGATAAGCAACTTGAAGTATCGGACTATTATCTAACTTTATCAGAAATAGCTTTATATCTTGATCAACAAATCTTCTCAGCTAGTCAAACATATATTACATTAAGCCAAGTACATATTGCTTCTTTACATTCTTCTGCTTTTATTATAGATATATTAATGATTAAAAAATACAAATATCTAGAATTAAAGGTGTAACTCCATTACCTTTATAAATATTATTCTAATCAAAATAATTTCATATAAAAAATTCTTAATGAAATTCAATGTAAAAACAAAAATATTTTAATGTTAAATTAACGTAGGATTTTAAAAATATTAATATTAATTTAAAAAAATAATACTGATTTTGTAATAACTTTTAATATTAAATCAATATAAGTAATGATTAAACTTAAGATAAAAATTTCTATAAGTATATAAATATAAAATAAATTATAAATTCAATAAATCATTAAATAATAAATAAATACCAAATAAATAGCATAATGCCCAAACTAATATCACAATACTATCGCAAAATAAATTGACATTAAAGAATACTAAATCGACTTCAGAATTTGCGATTACTAATACAAGAGACAAAATCACATATACTGTTTATTTACTATAACTAAAGATGGTTCCCATAATTATTTTTAAAATTTTTAACTAGTTGCAACTTAAGTTGCAACACTTTGAGTTGC